GGCGGCGTCCGGGACAAGTTCTTCCCGTCGGAGGACCTGCAGGAGCAGATCTACCTGAACCGCACGCTGCTGACGGCCGTGTCCGCCCAGCGCGTGCTGCCCTTCGACGACAACATCTGCCTGCGGGAGCCCTGCGAGAACTACATGAAATGCGTGTCCGTGCTCAAGTTCGACAGCTCGGCGCCCTTCATCAGCTCCACCACCGTGCTCTTCCGGCCCATCCACCCCATCAACGGGCTGCGCTGCCGCTGCCCGCCCGGCTTCACGGGCGACTCCTGCGAGACGGAGATCGACCTATGCTACTCCAGCCCCTGCGGCACCCACGGCCGCTGTCGCAGCCGCGAGGGCGGTTACACCTGCGAGTGTCTGCAGGATTTCACAGGTACGTGTCGCTCCCCGGGCCCCGGGCGGGGTCGCACGCGGGGGGGCCCTCGCCGGCTCCCTCAGTCCACTCCCCTGCCCGGTGCCAGTCCGTGGCCTTGGTGGTGACGCTGGGAGCCGCATGTCCTTAGCCGGCGGGCGGGCGGGAGGCAGGCTTCCTGACGAGCCCTTGCAGGTCCCTGTTGACCGCGTGTGACTGGAGTCGCCCTCTTTCCGAGAGCGATGACGGCGTGAGGGCCACCTGAAAACCCACGTGCGGGAGATGACACGCGCTTCCTTAGGCGGCTTCAGGTTGGAGGCACTTCATTCCGGGCTTCGGGTTTAATTGGCTACTGTAAACAGTGTGACTGGGATGGAGATCATGAGCCGCTGATCACGCGGGTCTGGAGAGCCGGTGTTGGTGTTTCACGCCCGGTGGTCGCTGTAGAGGTTACGTCTCCTCCGCCTTGAACGCACACTTGCCCTGAGACGTCCTGACTCGTCGCGAAGATGAATTGCTCCCCAGGCAGCCGGCGGTGGGTGTTTAGAAATAGGTAGTCAGAGCAGCACGATGCACACGTCCTGGCCTTGGCCTTCGATCGCGTGTTGCCTAAGATCACGGCCCATTTGAAAAACAAGTTTCTGGTGGCCTGAGAGCGGTCTGGCGTTTTGGGGAAGCCGTCTAGGATTAGGTGGGACCTCATTCATACCGGACGTAGCTTCGCGATTCCAGTATGGACTGTGGCCCCGGTTATCCTGTTTAGTATAAACAGCCGAAAAATCATTATCTGCTTGTGTGGGACGTGGCACCGTTTATGGAGCTTAGCACAGGGGTTTACGGCATTAGCCGGTGTGTGTTAAGCAGGAAGAGTAAACCCGGGGTGGGGGGCACAGTGGGAGGAAGACGGCCGTGCCTGGCGCTCTGAGTCAGAAGAGGAAACGCGCCAGAGAGAGGCCGTTTGGCAGCCTGAGGAGGTGGGGGTTTACCGTGTCTGAGCCCCAGCCTGGTTATGATCCGGAGTATGGCGTGGCAAGAAAGGCACATGACCGCCTGCCCTGTGTCCTCCCCTCCTCCCCATGCCTCTTTGTGGCTGGCTGGCTGTCCGTCTGTTTTGTGGGGCTCCAGCAGGGTCTGCCCCGCTGGCTCGGAGTGTTAACCCTGGATTCCTGGCTACACTGGGGCATGGTGGTGGGCCCGGATGGGAGGCTCAGGAGACCCCTGCCCCCGCAGTTCCTGCCTACGTTGTCGGGGCTCTGGCTGTGCCCACAGGCCTGGACCAGGCTCCCCTCTCCCCCACTCCTCCCTGCCCTGGATTGTAGTGGGCGCTCACCACACGGTCCCGGCGCGCCCCGACCTCTCCTTCCCCGATCACCGTGACGAGCTGGGCTCTCGGCTTCTCCTGAAGCGGCTGACCAGATGTGCCAGCGCTGGTGACGGGGAGGCCTCCCCCGTGAGCTGCTGTTCCCTCCCCCCTCCCTTGCCCGTGGCCTAGACGGGGAGTGCTTCCGCCCATGACTTCAAGTGGTGATGCTGTGGCTCTTGACCCTGGGAAAGGGCTGGTGTGCTCTAGGGACTCAGCTGGCGTTCAATTACTCCCTTGCCCCCCGAGTATTAATGGAGTGCCTACTGTATGCCCGGCCACTGCACACATCAGACCTGCCCCTGCCCAGTCGGGTGGGGCACCTTGGGTTGTCTGCGTGACTGGCCCTTTCACTGATCAAGACACGTGGCAGTGGGGACCTGGCAGGGGACAGTCCCTCAGGCACCCTCTGCGCTCTGATGGAGGCCTAGGACGGGGTCTAAGGTGAGCGGGGAGACCAGCTTCGCCTCGGGGGCCACAGCAGCAGGCCTGGGTTCCAGAAGTCCCGGACGTAAGCCCAGGGCCATGTCTGGGCTGGGTAAACCGTGGCTGCTAGGGACCCGTGGATTCTCTCTGAAGAGGGATCGACCTGCTACATGGAAGGGACTTCCAAAGTTCTTAGATTTCGTTTTCATCACGGGAGTCATTGCTAGAGAAATAATGACCGGAAACGGCCCCGCGTGTCAGAAGATCCGCTGAGAGGCCGTGATTGGCGTGGGACTCATCTGAGTGTCTCTGGCCCTGAAGTCCTCATCTGTGTTTCCCTCGGAGATAAGACAGGCCCAGACTGATTGTTTGGACTCAGTCCCCCTTCCTCCGTCTCTCCCTTTCTCCCTTTGAAGCCCCCTCCTCTTGCGGGAGGTAATTGCGTTCATTTGCTGGTGCTGAAGGCTGCCTTGTCGTCGAGGGGGTTTTGTTACTTGCTCCTGGGTAAGCCGAGCCCAGGCCGCCGTGGGGAAGTTGGAAGCGGCCCAAGGCCCCCGGAGGACCCCGGCTTCCTGTGCTGCCGATGGACAGGAGATGGGCTGGGTGAAGGAAGGTGTCAGTTAATCTGAGGCGAAGCTCCCTGAATTTGGTGCTGGAGAAAACACCCCCAGCAGCAATCCTGTGTTTTCTTAAATCCATGCTGGCCTGAGAGAAGGACCGAGGCCCCAGCGATGGAGGGCTGTGTGCTGGGGCGGTAGTCGGGGTCCGCAAGTGACCCCACTCTGAGAGCAGCAGGACCTTATGGCTGAAGGCGTCATGGTCGCCGTCCTGATTTCCTCTAGAACTCGGCAGACGTCTCTTCTCGGCCCCTCGGTGTCTTGGGTCGTAAACAGCGGGGTTTGGTTTTGGCTAAACCCCCCCAAAGGTCGCCGTCCCCTTCTTCCTAATCCTCGCTTCTGCACCTGTTGCCTGCTGCCATCACCTCCCTCAGAATCCGCCTCAGCGCCGTCCCCTGCTCTGGAAGGTTCTGGAAGGTTTCCCGACTTCCTCGGTGCTGTGTTTATGTGTTGGTTGCTCTGCTCTCACCTTGGGTGTGATCCCCTCATTTCCCTGCCTCTCAGGACAACGGTAACTTAGGGCTAATATTCACTGGCCTTCGGTGCGCTGTGCTGTTCTAGATGATTCCACATGTGTTACCCCAGTCCCCACATCAGCAACATGGCCCCGTCTGTAAGCGGAGAGACGAGGTGCAGAGCAGCACAGTATCTGGCCCGGCCGTTCTAACCGGGGTGATTCTGCCCCCGGGGACAGCAGGGTGTGGGATCGGGGGGTGGAGGCCACACGTGCTGCCCACATGCACCGAGGACGGCCCCACACAGACAGCAGTCCCGCCAGCGTGTCTGCGGGAGCGCAGAGCCACCGACTGTGTGATGAGTGCAGGTTCCCCCAGGTCTTCCTGGATGTCACCTCCCTGCCTCCACACGTGTCCCCTCCTCTCGTCCCCATTCCCTGCGTCCGCCCCCTGCTCGGCACTGGATGGCCACAGCACCGGGCACACAGAAGGTGCTCAGTAAGTGCTCATGCACACACGATGGGGTCAGGGGTTCACTGGCCTGGCCTGTTCCTCCCTGTAGCCAGAAGAGGCGTCCTGGAGGCTCCCTCTGTACGGTGCTCGGTGCTCAAAGCAGTGCCTTTGCTGCTATTGTCACTGCGCTGGAGGGGACTCGGGGGGACGGGGTGGCGCTAAGGTATTTATGACTCTGTCCCGCTGGTGTGAGAGCTGGCCCAGCTCCAGTTCTCACAGCACAGCTATGTGCTAACGCGGGCTGGCAGGCCTCCCCCTCCTCCCATACATGCATCTTCTCGTCACGGAGAACGAGGTGATTTATCATCACAGATGAACGTCTGCCCACGGGGTGCATTCCTGAGAAGGCAGCGACTTTGATAGCCCGGGGGGCAGGGGGAAGGCTTTCCTCCGCACTCTGCCTGTCAGAGGGGAGGCCTGGCTGTGGCCCGGGACCTAGACCGTCAGGGTGCGCCCCCACCTTGGCCGCCCTGGCTGTCTTCTTCGTAGGGTCCTGTTTGTTCTTGAGCGTACGATTTGTTTTACTGGACCCTGCATCGAAATGGTTCTCCTCAGCATCGAAATAGGTGCTTCTTAGCAGAGATGTAGTCTGGGAATCACTGGGTCAGTAGCCACTTAGGAGTCTCGGTGATGCTGGGTTTAAGCTTTGTGCTAACTACCCCTGGGTGGAATGTCCCGTTTGTGCTGTGTGAGAGCCTTCCAGGGAACCTGACTGCCCCCCGTGGTGGCCTCCCTTGGACTGGGGGCCCTGACTGTCCCCCAAGGTAGTCTCTCCTGGGCTGGGGTCCTGACTGCCCCCCATGGTGGCCTCCTCAGGGATGGGGCCCCTGACTGTCCCCCGTGGTGGCCTTCCCTGTGCTGGGGCCCCTGACTGTCCCCCGTGGTGGCCTTCCCTGTGCCTCCCCTGCTGGGGGTCCCGACTGTCTCCCGTGGTAGCCTCCCCTGGACTGGGGACCCTGTCCCCTGTGGGGAACTCTCCAGGATGAGGACATCTGCCTAAGCTCAAGGCCAGAGAAACCTCTGGTATACAAACCGAATCATCTTTTCTGTTCATGGAAAATATTTAAAATCACTTCTGGCACTTCTTGGATTCTGTTAAAAAAATGCACATTACCCCAACTGCACGTTTTATCTTGAATTCTCCTGTCAGAGTCATGGTATTTCCGTCATCACGGGATGCACGAACGTGATGCACGGTCCCAAGCAGAAACCCCGCGCCTCCGCGTGAAACTCTGTGTTCTCAGCTCCACGGCCATCTGTGAGGGGAGGGGCGTCCACACCGTGCGGGAGAGGAGGTTTACCAGCTCCTGCCGCGGTTCACGGGATTGGAGGTCCCCTTGGAAGAATCGTCAGCAAGGCGAGTTTCGTCCTTAAACCAGGAAGTTCGTCATCATCATTCAAAGTGAAAGTCATTGGGGTGCCTGGGTGGCTCAGTCTGTTAGGCAACCAGCTTCGGCTCAGGTCACGATCTCCTGGTCAGTGAGTTTGAGCCCCGCGTCGGGCTCTGAGCTGACGGCTCGGAGCCTGGAGCCTGCGTCGGATTCTGTGTCTCCCTCTCTCTCTGCCTCTCCCCACTCACGTTCTGTCGCTGTCTCTCTCAAAAAGAAATACACATTGAGAAAAAAAAGAATACATGTTCTTTGTGGACAT